AATTTACACTTTGAGCAGTCTTGGAGAAGAAAATGAACATACAGTTTGGATTATGTATTTATAATTTTACTTATGAGTCAAAAAAATCAGGTACATGTTGAAAATGAAACAGCATTTCTATTAATCCATTTTAATTAGGATTATGGAACACAATTGCTTCCATAATGCACAGGGTGCCAGCGAAACCCATGATGAGCCCAGACAGCGCCCCCTGTGGACAAACACGCACTGACTCTTCACTGTTCGTGACGTCACAAAGGTGGGATCACAGGTGCAAGAGGCTAAAATTAGTTTTCATTTGAAGGTGTTTTGAATTCAGTCTTTGCTAAACGGACGTGGATGTTTTTATGCTCCAATGCTTTTATTTTGCAGTGTTAAATCAACACTGAATTAAATTTAACACTGTGTCCGAGTCTATTTGGTCCTTATCTGAACTGGTGTCAATTTTACTCTTTCCATGGTGTTATACTTTTAGAGTACAATTTAACTGTAAACAGAGTTAAAAATTAACACTGTACAGTGTTAATAAAACTTAACACTTCAAGTCAAATAACTGATGAGAGTAATTATGACTCTAGCAGAGTTATAAAGGTACTCCACTGGTGACAAATCAACTCTGATTCTCATGCTTTTCAACACTGCATTGAGTTATTGATGGTTAACACTGGAGGTTCATATGAGTGTTAATTTGACATTTGACTGTGATTATTACTCTTTTTCTGTGTAGAGGGGTGTAAAACAGACACTGGTGTCATTACACAGCAAATTTGAAAGTGTAATTTTAACACTTTACGCAGTTCCGCTCAATTCTAGTTTTCCTTCTCTGCTCCGTCCACTTCTCCCATTGACAAGGATTTCGCTGGCAGATTTTTAGCCGGGCCAATCAGAGAACAGAACATCAATTTTCTGCGCAGAGTCTGCTTGTAGTTTATTTTACCTGGGCCAATCAGCAAACAGAAGACAGAGTTTTGAATGACGTCGATGTTCTGCACAGTGTCTGCTAGTTATTTTAGCATACGGCAGTGGAGGAAGTGAAAGAAGCCAGTCTCTGTTGATGAGGCTTCCAAATTAAATTAAATTTGTCTGACAAAGCAGCAGCTCTCATTTACAGCCGTCTCATTCGGCTCTGTATATTTCTCTTCTCAGTAGGGTTGTTTACAGCACGCAAGATTTCCGGTTAGCTTCTTAGCTTAGCCTCCGTCACAGCGACAACACACATGCTTCAGCAGAGGCCACGCCTCCTGCAAGATTCTCTATGCAGCAAGTCCAGATCCTTGTACGAAACAAAGTGAAGGACAGGGTCTGGTTTTTACCAGGCTAGTATTGAGGTAAAACTGGGCGTGACACCTTGCATTTTCACAGTTTGCCTCCATCATTTCCTCTCATCTTAGTCTAAACTTGTATGGATAGTCTGTAAGTTATAAGGATTTTGCGTCATTTTGCAGGTAAACGAACGTATGGAGCAATCTCACGGATTTTTTCAAGTCTTATGTATTTTTTCCAAAACCTCATTTTCAAATGATCTAACATGTCAGAGCCTGTAGGCTGATTTAAAAAACAATAAATAACATCAAACAGCCATCTTCCAACCTGTTCTGCCGCTAGAAATAGGTTTTGAACTTTTTCCGCTCTCCTCCTGCTTCGCAGCAGGAGGTTTCATGTCCGCAGCCGACAGACCACAGACACGTACAGATTTTTGCAAAATTTATGGATCTTTGAGGCTCTTGATACAGGTAAACGTCCAAAGAGGTTGACATGTATGAAGTATGGTGCAGTATGAGGGCCAAATTTAAGACTATTGTGCAACCAGCGGTTGGTACATCGTTGTAGCAGGAGGCTATATCTGTTCGCTAGCCTCTCCGATGCTAATGCCAGCCTATCTGTGCTAAACGCTAGCCTCTCCGATGCTAATGCCAGCCTATCTGTGCTAAACGCTAGCCTCTCCGATGATAATGCCAGCCTATCTGTGCTAAACGCTAGCCTCTCCGATAATAATTCCAGCTTATCAGAGCTAGTCACTAGCCTCTCTGATGCTAACGCTAGCCTGTCCATGCTAGTCACTAGCCTCTCTGATGCTAACGCCAGCCTATCAATGCTAGTTGCTAGCCACTCTGATGCTAACACAAATGAATAGTCTTCTCATTTGCAAGGACTGGCCTCTCAGTTACCGGGGCCAGCTGCTCAGTTAATGGTGCCAGCCTATCATTAATCAGATCAATAATTGGTTTAGGAATAGATATAACCTCCTGCTATGAGGATGTAGCAACCACTTGTTGACCAATAGTCTTATTTTTGCACTCATCCTGCAAGGTCGAGTGATCACTGAGACTTTCATAAAAACGTTTCACAAGACGTTTGAAAAATCTTTTCTGCCCAAGCTTGTATTTTAGCAAACAACAGAGTCGCTGCATGAATCCATTTCTTTATTAACAAATTGTACACATGATCTTAGAAAGATTGAAAAAACAGATTCAAATAACTGTAAAACAAGCTTTTCATGAAGCGATGCTGCTTTTTGTCAGCTCGAAATCGCAGAACGCAGGATTGCTGCTGCCGAATTTCTTCTCTCTGTCCTTTAAGTCGAACTGTCCGCTTCGTTTTTCCACCTGAGCAGAGAAAAATGCAGGAAGTCAGGATCTGGTTTAGTGTTTATGTTATGAAATGAACTCTGTGCAGACGGGACTCACTCTGCATTTAAATAACTTGATGAAGTAATAAAACGTTGTGTCCTCCTTCTTTAATAAGAGCCTTGGTTCCACTTTCAGCTTACAGCCTCCTTTAAAAGTATAAGTAAAAAACTATTAATCAGAAAGTAGAGTTTTCTAAATATTTAAAGTCATTTACCAGTTAACACGCTGACTATCAGCCCCACGCTGATGGCTATTATTGTTCCAATTGGACTGAAGTAAAGGTAGGACAGAGAGTAGACGTCTGCCAATGCAAGCCTGCTGCCGGGACAGGATTAGACCAGATTAAAGCTCTATCATGCACCCAGCCTTTTGTGCACGTCGTCTAAGAGTTATAATCAGTTACTCACCTGCTGCCATCGTGGATGGGAACGATAACGGTGGAGTTGGGTTGTGTTGGCAGAGCCGTGGCGGTCCAGTTGAAGGTGTTGGTTGTGGTGAAGTTACAGCCGTCGGTCCTCAGCGGCAGAGGATGGACCACCTCGGGGGGCGGCGGGTAAACCTGGGCTCCGATGCCCACCCAAAGGGAAATGACCAGCCCTGACAGGAGACCTGACACAGCCCCCTGCAGGCAGGCAAGAACGGTAAATATGACCTTTTAGTAAACAGAAATATTAAGAAGGTTTAACCCAATCAAGTGAAGTTTTGAACTACTGACATTTTATCTGAACATTAGTTTGAAGAAGTTATTTTTTCTTCTGATTAGACTGATGAAATACAACCAAAATGTGGTAAATAAACAGAAAATATATTAATTTCTTAAACATGAACTCCATCCATCTACAGGGGTAGCTGATTGTCAGACAGGAAAGTTGCGGGTTTGATTCCATGTGTGAAATATTTTATGGCAGTGGTGTCAAACTTCRCTTGACTGAGGGCAACATGAGTCTTATGGTGGTAATTAAATTCAACATTTGTATTTAACTTCAACTAAACAAGAAACGTCACGGTCCTCATCTCGTTGCTACCGCTGAGCTCCACTAACAAACAATGAGCTCTACCTGGTATTTCCTGCATAGAAACATCATTTTGTCACGTCTTCTTAACTATGTATACGACTGACTGAAYGTGAAATAAATACAACAGACATATTATAAAAAGTAAAAAAGAGGTTTACAGAAAATCCCCACTGGAGGGGTGTTCCAGTATAAATTTACAACTTCTAAGTAGGAAATTGACACTTCCCAGTACAACTGGGTCGCAGCAAAATTAGCTGCTGAAAATGCAGTGAAATGGAGGTTATACACAGTGATTTTTTTCCAGCTACTGACTGCTTTGAACACTGGACAGCTCCATCTAGTGGTGGGAATGTCATCATTTAGTGGATAACATCATCAGCATACATTATGGGAGATGTAGCTTATTGTCAATCAGGCCTTCACTAAGTTCAGCTGTGAAGAAAAATAATTTCAACCACCTGCATCCAAGATCCCATTCTTTCAGTCACTACCCAGAGTTGGAACCATAGATGAGGAAACATAGACTAACTGGTAAACAGAGAGCGTAACCTCATCATCCTCAATACTGCAGCAATCCCAACCTGGAGAGAGCAATCCATCCTTTTCTGATGGAGGACCATGGCCTCAGAAAGAACTGAACTGTCACTTTAAATATCTACAACAGCATCAGTATTTATCTGAAATATTGAAGTGGGTCAGTTGAAAAAGGATAGGCTTACTTTGGAGTTAGCGCATGGACACAGGACGCCCAGTGTGAACAAGCCGAGTAAAGGACCTCCAATGACCCCAAAAATACTGATCACTGCCTGGACATGGAGAAGAATGAATTATAGGCTACAGTTTGTCCTTTAAACAAATGATAACATGCTTAAAGAGTTTTATTTTGGGTTTTTGTTATCAGACCCACTGTACCTGCAGGATCCCTCCCATGAGCGAGGCCAGTCCAGCCATTCCAATGCATACAACTCCATAGAAAAAAGCTGTGTTTGGGAGAACGTTTGACATTAGAATCATAGATTTTTACCAAACGGCCTCACATTTCAACCTTCACCAGTCCACTCACTCATTCCCTTTGAGATCCAGGACAGGTGTTTCTCAGACCAGTTGGTGTAGGGTCGGATGAGATCCTCCACGGTCACTGCAGCCAGAGCGTTGATGCTGGAAGACACTGTGCTGAGTGTTGGAATGAGAAGCAAAGGAAAAAACAAAATATTTAAGAAAAGGTCAACAATTCAAGTTGAGTACATTAAGAAAAACAGTTTAGTGATGAAATAAGGACCTCAGGGATCCACTGTATGCAGCTGCTACAAAGAGTCCAGGGAGGCCGGGGTAGTCCCTCAGGATGTCCATCACCAAATATGGCATCAGCTACAAAAAACATGCAGTATAAATGTTGAGTTAAAGCTAAAAAAAAACAACACTATAAAAGCTAAAACTGCTAAAAGTAGCAAAACAATAGGTAAAACCTCAAAGTAGCAATGGTGAGCAGCTGACGGTTCCAACAGGCAAAAGTAGCTAAAAAAAAACTAGCTAAAAGATAAAAAGTGCCAGCTAGAAGTGAAAAATTAAACAACTCCACTTAAAAGCAACAATCAAAATGTTAGCTGCAAACTTGAGACAGAAAAATGATAACTAAAAAGGTCAGTTGCTAACTAAAAGTAGCTAAATTTTAGCAAGCTAAAAGTATTAGAAAGTTATTTAAAAACTAAATGTACTAAACAGCTAGAAAATATAAGTAACAAATGGCTGGCCTAATGCTTAAAGTATCCAAAGCATAGTAGCTAAAAGTGCCAAATGGCAAGGTAAAAAATGTAGAACAGTAGCTACAATTTGTTAAAAGCTAGCCAACAGTAGAGGAATTATAGCTAAAAGTAGCAAAAGCCCAGCTAAAAAGTAMAAGTAGCAAAATTGTAGCTAAAACCTAAATTACTATAAAATAATAAAAAGCATAGCACTCCTGAATGAGCTGAACATTTTGATTCATGAGGGGTAACGTAGCACAGCATATGAAACATAAACATAAAAAGATGATGCTGGCTTGAGGCTTGTGACGATTCATGGTTGGAAACTTTCAAACACAAACAGATGAGTGACGAGAGTTTGTCGCAGTCGCACCTGATCAGAAGCAGAAATAAGTCCGGTGCTCCACGGGTCACAGTTTTTATAGACCGAGTACAGACACAATCCTGCAAACACCGAGCTCACCATAATGGACAACAGGCCGAGCAAGTTGATGTACAAGGAACTACAAACAAATGAAAACGTGTCATCAGGCAGTACAACTTCTCTATGTGACTAAATAAGTTCGAGATGCCTAATGTCCCTTTTCCACTAATTCCACGTACGGTCCGTGTCGGAACGGGTCAGTATTGACGTTCCAGTCCGGTTCCAGTGGGTGTGTTTTGAGTGGTTGGTGGAGGTGGTTTTTGGGTTTTTCAAAAAATAAGTTAATGCACAAAAATGAGAGATGGAAACACATTTGCCAAATAAGTTCTGAAATGTTAAAAATTTGCTAAAATTTTGAATTAAAATTGGAAACATGACTAATATCATTGCTACATATGAAAAAATGTCACCTCGAGTTGTTGTTGTAAAAGCAGCTCAGATGCAACCAGTGACTCCACCCCCTAGCCAATCAGTGAAGAACAGTGTTCTGACATTGCATTTTGGTGTCGACTGGGACCGCTTGGAACCACAACAAAGTAGGTACTAAAAAATGGCTGGTTCCAAGAACATGGCCTAATGGAAATGGCTTGGAACCGTACCGATATGTACCGACACTACACTAAGTGGCACTAGTGGAAAAGGGGCAAAAGTGAAACACAGTGGACTCACAGTCTGGCGTGGGTCATGCTCTTGCAGGAGATGTATCTTTGAACCTGGGCCTGGTTGATCCCATAGACACTGACCCAGAGAAATGTCCCTCCGACCGTCACGGTCCAGAAGGTGTGTCTCCTTCGAGGGTTCATGTCGAAGCTGGTGAAATGGACAAAAAGAAACACCAAAGTTTTCATCCATGTCAGAGGCTGACTTCAAAAAGGTTTAATGATTGTAGAAGTTTGGGACCCGTAATTCTTGGCCATCCAAGCCATTGCAGTCCTAATTATTATGATTATGAGCARTATAAAGGAGCGATGTGTTCTTGGAGGTAAGACTGTTGTTTGTATCATAGTTGGAACCACTGATCACTTTCAAATTGTAACATAGTGTTAGTTGAGTCTGACTTTTTAAGGTTTTACGTCAAAAGTTGAAGATAATATGTAAAAATAAACCCAAAAAAATCTAAAAGAATTTACTTTGGGCTTCCTGTTCGAGCTTTCTGATTGTTTGATTGCTTGTTTCTGAACCAAAATAAGATGCCAAGTCATATTTTCTGCACTTACAGTTCATTTAATGGTACCAAATTGGATCAGGCCAATAGAAGCTTCTCATGTATAAACATGTAATTGGTCTACAATCTTGTCTGCTGAGTTCTGGTCCACAGAAACATTTGGGTTCCATGTATACAACTGCAGAGCTACCTAAAAGGACTCCTGATCCAGTGTGTCAGTGGGGTGACTGAGGGTACATTTTACAAGTCTGATTGTCCGTCAGTCCGTTTTTTACCACTTATCCGAGGTCTGGTCTCGGGGGCAGCAGCCTAAGCAGAGAGACCAAGACGTCCCTCTCCACCACCACTTGGGCCAGCTCGTCCGGTGGAATCCCAAGGCATTCCCAGGCTAGCCGAGAAACATAGTCCCTCCAGCATGTCCTGGGTCTTCCTCTGGCCCTCCTCCCAGTGGAACATGCCCGGAACACCTCACCAGGGAGGCGTCCAGGAGGTATCCTAACTAGATGAACCACCTCAGCTAGCTCCTCTCGACATGGAAGACAGACTGGTACAGCGCCCGCATCACTGCAGATGCAGCATCAGTCCACCTGTCGATTTCCAGCTCCATTCTTCCCTCATTCGTGAACAAGACCCTGAGATACTTAAACTCCTCCACTTGGGGCAGTACCTTCTCCCCGACCTGGAGAAGGCACCCTACCCTTTTCCAGCTCAAGACCATGGTCTCGGATTTGGAGGCACTGATCCTCATCCCGGCCGCTTCACACTCTGCTGCGAACCGCTCCAGTGAGAGCTGGAGATCAGGATCTGATGAAGTCAATAGGACCAYGTCATCCACAAAAAGCAGAGATACGATCCTAAGGTCACCAAAAAGGATTCTCTCAACACCTTGGCTGCGTCTAGAAATTCTCTCCATAAAAGTTCCGAACAGAATCAATGACAAAGGGCAACCTTGGTGGAGTCCAACTCTCGCCAGAAATGAGTTCGAGTTACTACCGGCAATGCGGACCAAGCACTGGCACCGGTCGTACAGGGACCTAACAGCCCATATTAACGCGCCTGGTACCCCATACTCCCGGAGTACCCCCCACAGAAGTCCAAGAGGGACATGGTTGAACACCTTCTCCAAGTCCACAAAACACATGTAGACTGGTTGAGCGAACTCCCATGAACCTTCCAGGGCCCTGCTGAGGGTGTAGAGCTGGTCCGCTGCTCCACAACCAGGACAAAAACCACACTGCTCTACCTGAATCCAAGATTCGACTATCCAACGGACATTTTACAAGTGTTGCTCAAAAACAAAGCACTAATTGTGGATGATCTTTGCTGAAAATTCATCATTAAAGCTGGAAATTGTATCTTGGATAATGTCAACAACAATAGAACAATAGTCCAATGTTTTACTGTGGGAAGTCAAAAGCTAATAACGTCTTCTGGGGTTTTTAAGACTGTGAGGGTTCGTAAGTTTAAAGCTTGATGCCTGGCTGTCATGTGGGTCATTAAAAACACTTCTGTTAACCTGTCTGTGGAAGGATCTAATGATTTCACTGCTAAGATAAGAAAATACCCTTTTCTCAGATTAGTGATTAAACCTCTTATCAACTACTCTAAATGACGTGGGTCAAGGATTCACATCAACAATTTTCAACTCAGTCAACTATTGAAACATCAATCAAGTTGACTTTCACTGTTCGGTTTGGTGTTAAGAATTAACTGGTGAGATTGACAGAAATATCTTGATTTAGAAAACATACTGTAACTAGGTCATCATCCACCTTGTACCTGCTGAGGTTGTTCTGTCCAAACGTCTTCTGCTTGAGACCACATTAACAGTTTTCCATCATACTCACTCCCAAAGGTTTAGTCTTCCTCCGTCCTGTGAGTCTGAAATGATGGCGACCACTCCGCCTTGCAGGACCACAGATCTGAAGATGACACTCAGGAAACCTGCTAACATGACGCCGAGCTGCGAGGAGAGACACACGGGTTCAATTTAAAATTTTATTCCAGTTGGGGCTCTGATTTGATTCAGTTCTTAAATTTAAATCATCATCTAGTTTTTGCTTTCTTTACCTTGGCTTTTGCTATGTTTAGCTTTTAGTTATCTTTTTTCTTGTGTTATCTAGTTTTATGCATCTTTTAGCTTTTAGCTAGCCTTTTGCTTGTGTTATCCAGTGTTAGGTATCTTTTAGCTTTGTTAGCCTTTTGCTTGAGTTATCTAGTTTTATGTATCTTTTAGCTTTAAGGTAGCATTTTTCTTGAGTTATCTACTTTCATGCAGCTTTTAGCTTCAGCCTTTTGCTTGAGTTATCAAGTTTTATGCATCTATTAGCTTTTAGTTAGACTTTTGCTTGTGTTATCTAGTTTATGCATCATTTAGCTTTAAGTTAGCCCTTTGCTTATGTTATCTAGTTTTATGCATCTTGTATTATATAGTTTTATGCATCTTTTAGCTTTTAGTTAGCCTTTTGCTATATCTAACTTTTGCTAGTCCTTTGCTCTTTTTAAGTAGTTTTTTTGCTTTTTTATATTTTAACTATCCTTTTGCTACATGTAGCTTTTAGCTAGTCTTTTGTATTTGTTATATAGTTTTTTGCTTCTTTTATATTTTAGCTAGCCTTTTGTTATGTTTAGCTTTTAGCTAGGGGTTTACTCTTTTTTTAGCTCACATTTTGTTTTTTTTAACTTCAAAGTCTCAGTTTTAGCTTATTGAGCTAATTTCAGCAGTATTTTTAGCATTCATTGCATTTTAGCAGAAAAAATTATTATTTTTGCATTTCTGATCAAATTTTAATATATTTTTTAAAACATCCATCCATACATTAATTATATCTATACCCGCTTCTTCCTTGCAGGGTTACGGGGGTCACTGGTGCCCATATCCAGCAGTCACAGTGCGAGGGGCGGGGTACACCCTGGACAGATCAGATGGAATGTAGGACTTAAATTTGATGAACTGTTTTGCAAATGTAAAAACAGAGTGAACATCCATCCATTATCTATACCCGCTTCTTCCTTGCAGGGTTACGGGGGTCACTGGTGCCCATATCCAGCAGTCACAGTGCGAGGGGCGGGGTACACCCTGGACAGGTCGCAAGTCCATCAAAACAGTAAAGCAAAATGTCCCACTATCAGCTATTTCTTAAATTTATTTGATTGTTGCTATTATGACCAGAAATAAACTGTTTTTTTCTCCCAAATTAGAGTGATTTAACACAACAAGGAATAAGGATCTTTTCCCAGATTCCCACTTCAAAAGATCTGAACCGTTCTTTTTAGGTTTTCCCACAATAAAGCTGCAAAATATGAGTCATTTTCCCAGGTTCAGTCAGACGGCTTAACCTCTTAATGTGACACTCATTTTGGTGTTTTATGACCTCAGAGCCCACCTGAATGACATCTGTCCACACCACGGCCTTTAGACCCCCCTGCAACGACCACAAGCAGCTGTTTTAGCAACATGCAGAAAATGATGTCATCAGAACATGTCATGAGCATGTGTGTTCAGTGACATACCATTGTGCAGTAAAAGGTGCAGACCACGCCTGTGGAGATGACGGCCCCCCACAGATCTAGCCCAGTCACTGTGGAGAGAGRAGAAGCTTTCAGACTGTGGGCAGTCAGCTGCAGAGTTAAGTGAGGTCAAGAGCTCTTCATGGATCTGATCCACGTACCCTGGTTTAAAGCCAGAGCCGGAGTGTAAATCACAATCCCCGTGTAAAGGATCTGTAACAGAAAGACAAAACCTCCAGCAGGTTACAGGCCTGAGGTTTTACTCACCTGTAATTATCAGCTTACTGCTCCCATACTCACCATCTGAGCGATGAAGAGGATGGTTCCAAGCAGACGGGTCGCTCTGCTGAAACGCAGCTCCAGATACTAAAACAGAGGAAAAATGTCAGCATGACAGCTTCTCTATGTTCCCCTCCTACAAACATCTCTTACCATTTATTTTAAACATATAAGCTTCAGAATATTTTCTCTAATTTAGTATTCTGTTAGCTTTTATCTGTTGTGATGATTGTAACTATTTTTGGCTACAGTTTTGCTAACTTTAGCTCATGTTTTGCTCATTTTACCTGTTATGGGTCTTTTTATATTGATGCATTAAACCAGTATTTTCCTCAAAGTCCTCCTCAAACCAAGCTGAGCCCCCCACATCCGTCACCACTCCCCACCTCTCCCAAAGAGTTCATCAAAACAATAAAAGAATAAAGTGAACTGTTACAAGCTTTTATTTTGGAAAAAAAAAAACCAAGAACTGGGTGGTTTTGGTGATTTTTATGTAAACAATAGGTTTATATTTTTATAACCTCTGAGCAGACAAGGTGATAGCCCCTCTGTGCTCTCTGCACCACCACTTTTAATCTTTTAGCGGTTTGCTAATTTGTGTTTCTATTGTTTTGCTATTTTTAGTAAGTATTTTGCTACTTTTGTTTTAGAGCTTTCAGCTATCGTTCTGCTGCTTTTCACTTTAAGTTTTTTCTTCTTCAGACAATCTGATCAAAGCCATTCAGCTCTCAGCACATTATTCATCATCAGGGTTGTTTTGTGGACCTGGACTTTAGCCTCGGCTGGTTTTTAGCTTCTGTGCAGCTCCTGAGATGGGTTGGAGAGATGCCACCTTCCAGTTGCAGATTACCACCCGTTCTTTTGTGCCTCACTGTAAGCTTATCACCAGCCTGTTATTTGCAGAGTAAGTCACGTTTTCTGCAAGTGTGCAAAACATTTCACCTGACTGAGCCTGAAGTCTAAGATAACCAGAACTCCTCCAGATTCCTTCTGAAACAAAACGTTGTGTTCTGCAACACGACTCAGGTGGAAGCACACTGACCTCATARGTGCTGGTGATGCTCAGCTTGTAGAAGACGGGCAGAAAGACCTCAGAGGTGATCAGTATGGTGAACAAAAAGGCCAGACCACAAAGCCCGATGCCAGCTCCGTACAGGTACACCTGGATGGAGTTAAAGCAGGAAGATTTCTAAAAGTGGAACAAAACATACAGCTGTATTTGTGAGTTGGCCTTACCTCAGCCGGTTGGGACAGGACTGTGATGGCTGACATGAAGCTGGCGGTCAGGGACAGAGAGACGGGCAGGGCGGTCAGTCTGCGGCCCCCCATTAAGAAGTCCCCAGAGTTGCTCTGTCCCCTGTCAGTCCAGGCGAAGTAGATCCCAACGGCAGCAGAAACCACCAGCATGAGAGCAAATACCACATAATCCAGAGCTACAAAGGAGCTGGCTTCTGGAGACATTCTTGTAAAAAAAGTTTTTTTTGTTTTGTTTTGTTAAGTTTTTTTAAATAAAAGTTTGAAAAGTTAATCTGACTGTTCCATGAGTTCTACTCCCAGAAACAGACGGTCCTCTGTGGGTAAATGGACGTCCTGGCACATCACCTGCTCACTCAACACAGAGCTGAGTGCAGGACCACAGACTGAAACCTTTTATGTGTGTGTGTGTGTGTGTGTGTGTGTGTGTGTGTGTGNGTGTGTGTGTGTGTGTGTGTGTGTGTGTGTGTGTGTGTGTGTGTGTGTGTGTGTGTGTCGGAGATAAGGAGGAATGCTCTTGTGTGTCCCTGAGGTCCAAAAGGTTATGGGACATCACTTTCTATTATTTATAGTTTAAATGCCTTTTTTATTATTAATATTTTAGAAAATTCTACTGTTGTTGTTGGTTTTTTTTTTGCATGTACGCTTTCAAGAAATAGTTACATGTTTCTTTATTTTTGCTTCAAAAATAAAAAATTTAAAAGCACTAAAATTGTGTCCACACTTATTCTGCACACAGCCCAAATGTGGGTGAAAATGAAGTTTTTTTCTTTATTTTACACTTGGTGCCATGAGAGGCGGGCGATCGTGTGTGTCCAAATCTGTGTGCATTTGTTTTTGAGTTAGCAAAATATCCTATGAACCACCTATTGGATCTTAGAGGAATCACTTTGATCAGGATGGCTGCCACTAATCAACACAAGCTAATATTTCTGTTATTTATTATTCTGTTTTTCCCTCTATTTGTAATTTCTATTTGACTGTCAAGCAGCCCTTGTTCCTCAGAAGGGAAGGTATAAAAAGTGCTGCTGGTGCCGTTTCTCTTTCCTCCCACATTAAACCAACTGAGCTGTAAAAAGAGATTCAAAGGAAACCAGAACAAAAACTAACCACTGACTGCTCTGCTTTCAATGGGACAGAATGTTTCATGCTTCAGCATGTTGCACAAGAACAAGCAGCAGACAATGTGGACAACACAATGTCCCATCTGACCACAAACAATTAGTTTTTTTTTTTTTTTGGCAACTATATACTCAATTTTATTGTTTGTGATGTAAGACAAAACTTTAGTCAAACTGTGTTTGAAAATTTTTGCTTGTAAAACCACATGTAAATATACTGATGGTTGTAATAAAGCCATTTAATCACTAATAAACTGAGTGAACATAAAAAAAACTGAAGATTGTGAGTTTTCAGAGCGTCATTTCTACCATGTAATACACTAAAATATTTAAACGTGATTTTGATTTTTTGAGCTAAATAAAGCTATAGTTTAGAGGCTACATGTTCAATATAATTATTTTTTATATGTAAATTAGCCTGTTTTCTTTGTCAGCATTGTTTGTTTATAACTTTCGGATAACATGCGAGGCTACAAACAAACGCGGAAGTGACGGGGGGTTACACTCTTTCGTGACTTTTTCATCTTTGTTTCCACCACGAGGGATAATTTTCCCATAATGCTTTGTTCAACATGGCTGCTCTCTGATTTCGGCGTGTGTGTAAATAGTTGCAAAATTTATTGTAGAATACGTAGTTTAAAGCATAAATTTGCGGTTTTATGACTCCATTTAGGCGTGAGACTGGTTTCGGAATAAATTAAAGTTGTTTGTAAGTCACGAAGCCGACATGAAAATCAAATGCAAGTCGTCGTATCACAAATCTGAGAACACATACAGGGTGAGAGAGTTTGTAATTGTATTTTAAAACAGTTGTTTACGTTGTATAATAAAACTTTAAATGTATTTAAACTTGCCACAGTTGCCATTTTATCCTATTCAATTTAAGAAGGCTTTAAACTGTACTTATCTTGCTAGCATAACAAGCTAATTTGTAGCATTTCATTATTTCCTGTATTCAGTTTCTCACTTTTGCTGAAAGACTCTCTAATGTCAACATTGATGTCATCCATCGGATTGACAGAACCGGGTCTTACGCAGAGGTTTGTACGAAACACTGAGAACAATTTTAACCGTTTTTATTTTGTAAATTACAGTGTTTTGTTCTGACCGGAAGTTGTTRTAAATTTACAGGAAGTAGAAACATACTTCTCAGAAGGACTAACAAAATGGAGAGATCTCAACCTTACAGAGCATTTCAGTAAGTAGCAAAAATAAATTTTATAGCTTGAGCTGCATGCTCGGAATAAAAACATCCAAGTTTTCCTCATTTTGTGACGTTTTCTTTCCTCAGCGACATTTTTGAAAGAGGTCATCAACAAGAGCCAGTCGTTCAACATGCTGGTTTTCCATCAGAAGGACATAGTGGAGAGTCTGAAGACACATCTGGCTGTGAAGGACAGTTTGGCTTTCCAACCCTTGCTGGAGTGAGTGTTTGACAAAACTGAGATAACCGTAAACATACGTTCTTCATACTTGGTGCCATTTTAATTATAATTTATCTAAACATTAAGCTCAGTTGGGAATAGTGTGCTTGTAAGACTTGTACATGTTTTTGATTCTCAACCTTTAATAATACTAAAAGTTGGTTTAAAATAAATGTTCTCATTAAAATAATTGTGTCTCTTCAATCATACATTATTTTATTTGAAATCATACGTGCTTTATTTTTTGTTTTCCTGTTCTGCTCATGGCTTGTTGTTGAATCAAACAACATTTAGCTTTTAGCTAATTTTTGCTTCTAGCTTCCATTTTGTTGGTTTTGTTGCTTTTAGGTGTTATGCTAATTTTAACTTTTAGCTATGGATTTGTGATGTTTTGCTGGCTTCATGTCCTTTTAAGCTACTGTTTTGCTTCATTTAGCTAACATTGTCAAGTGTTCTTTAATTTCATGGCTTCCCACACTTGAAAAGGAGGACTTGTAGACTTCAGGATTTCACTCAACCCTTTTTTATTTTCACCAGTTAGTGTGAATCAATGAATAGGTGAAAAACCTACAAAACACATACAAAACTTTTTAAACATACATTTTAAACATTTAGCTCAAAGTTACTAATTCATCTTAATTCCACTTGTAACCTTAGATAACATTTAATTCACAATTTTAACTATGAAATCAAGTATTACATTACTGAATTCTGTATTTGGCTTAATCAAACAAATCCAAACATTTTTAGAATGACATTTTTCTTTTCTTCAGGAAACAAGTTTTTTTTTTCACATTAAACATCTTAAATATGCATTTTAAAGAGTCAAACTGTAAAAAATAGCAGTGCAAAAC